AGTCCTTGCTGCAGCGGCCCAGGGTTCGAATCCGACCTGCGGCCCTTTGCTGCGTGTCATCCCCTCTCTCTGCCCCCCTTTCCTGTCTGTCTTCAGCTGTCACTATAATAAAGGCAATAAAAGCCTGTAAAAATAAACTTTAAAAAAAAATGTGTTGATGAACCTCCACTGTAGTAAACCTCAGGCAGAAGACTTCATCTATTCTGACCCCACAGCAGTCCGACCTCCTAGGACAGGATATTTACCCACCAGGGGATCAGTGTGATTGACAGCCCACAAGGGGAAGTGATCTTTCCTGAGGTCAGAAGTCAGGAGAGTAGCTGGTGTCCAATCGGAGCAACACAGGGGTTAGCTGCTGTCACACAGTCCAAATATTATCAGTGAACTCCTGTTTCCTGTGCAAGTTATCTAACGCTCTGTTCACTGCCGAACATCCTACAGAGTTCAGACATGCTGCTTTTAGAGGAGATTTTGTTGATATTTTATAGATAGAGGATTTAGCGAGTTGTTAATGGGCCCTAAAGCTGCATTAATTGATTTTTTTGGCTACTTGGGGGCAGCTAAACAAACTGTAAACACCACAGTGACATATTATCACCTTATAAAGTAGATATGCTGTAAGACAAAAACAATGCTCAGAGCTCAGTAGAGCTGAGTGGAAGAACGTTGGTTGAAAATTCTCTCTCTGTGGGTTGGTCACTACATTTGACCCATTTTACATTACACAAAACTGTTAATATAATTATATGGATTAAAATAGGGCTGCAACTACAACTAATTATGTGAAAAATGTTGATCAGGTGATGTCCTCCAATGGGAAGAGCATGTTAAATATGTGGTTTATTTTATTACATATTAATAGTCAATATAACTACAGGCTCAAATATAACAAAATCAAAAGCACTGTATATATACATTATACAGCACTGTATATATACAGTATATATCTGGATCACACTATAAATCTGCACTGACTCCACCAGTATAATACAATTTAATACCAGTTTAAAACGCAGTATAATAAAACTTGATACCTTACATCAAAGGGAATATAAAATACATTTGTTGCATAAAAATTCAAAACAAATAAAATATATGAAGAAATACTAATGTATGAATGTCAGAGAGAGCCCTTCTCACGCTCATGCACACATGGAGAGAGTTTATAATACTGGGCCATTACGTGCACAAACAGCCAGCGCTCTGTAGTTAAAAGCACTTGTTGTTTTTACACCGATCTTTTACAGCTGCTTTAAAGACAGCCGTAGATGTTGAGACTGGTCTGTAAAAAACTGGAGTCTCAGGCCTCCCTCATAGCACCAATGAGCCACAGCCGTCAACACACCTCAGGCAGAACAAGGGAAAACAGATGATACTCACTGGGGGCCTCCTCTTTCACCCCCAGCTCCAAAAAACCTGTGGCCCACACAGCTCAACGCCCTCCTCCCTGCCCCACCCTCTGTGTTTACACCCTGGCTCTGTGCGGAGGGTTAACACCGAGCACTCGGCTCACTCATGGCTCACCTCCGCACAACTGACTTGGGTCAACAGCTCCTCCGGATCAGCACCACCCAACACCACTCACTCCCATTCACATGCTAACAGGGGGTCAGTGGTCCCAGAGTCTCCTGCTGGAGATTCATCTTCGTTTGCACAAGAGCATGAAGGAGTGGGAGTGTGTCTCTCTTCAGTCTGTGCATACATGCCAACATATGTTTGCATATGTGCTCTCTAGTGTCCATCCATGTCCTGGGCCTCAAGTATGATGGAGGTCTTCCCACAGCTACATAAAAACAAAATTCAGTCTATTGGCCGGTTTACCATTAATAAGATGGGGTGAGGTATGACATGAAATGAAATTGAAAGTGTACACAGAGCAAGATCCATTAAAATTGTCCATTAGGTTGCATGTACTGCAGTAGCTAACAGCTCAATCTAATGATGATGTACAACAAACAGTTTGTGTAATGGCATACAGCAGGGACCCCCCTACGACATATACTGTAAAAGATTGTGTTGCATGTTACATAAGTGTTGTTGTTTTAACAAATAGGCCGATTTATCTTTATTATCATGCAGTTATTTACACATTTAGCAGTTGTGTTTCTGGCTACCTGAAGAGTGAGTCCAATGTTTTCTCTCCTTTTAGCTGTTTTTTTCTCTGGCACTTTAGCAACTACAGTAGATGCTCCACTTTATCTAAGATCGTTTCTAATTGTGCCTGTGTGCTCTCTGGTGCTGGGCAGGTAGTGTACAGTTAGTTTAAAAGAGCTTTTTTGCTTAAGACAGCCACCAACTGTTGTTAAGATGCTGTTGATGAGACTGGAGCAAAACATTTTCAAAGATGAGCTAAGAAGCTAAAAAACTTTTAGCGAGAGGTGAGGGGGTGGGGTATAATTCTCTGTGGGTTTGTCACTATTAGTGACCCCTGCCACATTACACATAGTCATTTGACCTGTTGTTCATATAAAAATATTAATGGGTGCAGCTTTAATGTCTATCTTTGTTTAATTTGGATTTAGATGAAGACTTCTAGTGCAGTCTAACTTAATGATGTGTCAGAGGCATTTCCGTCCTGACGAGGTTAAGAGAGGTCCAACTCAAGGATATTGATGTCATGTCTGTATTTGTCTTAAAGATTACATACCGGTTGAATACTGACATGTGCTTCTTATGTGTATGTGTTTCTGAGTGAGTGACAAATCTCCACTGCACACATATAGGTGTGTGGTGTGTGTGTGTGTGTGTGTTAGAGTGGCTAGCATTCCAGTTGGGGAGAGGATCCCATGGAAAATAGCGCTGTCTGTCAGCCTCTATCTCCTGATGATATCTCCCCTGTGCGACCTGAGGAGCAGAGCCTAACAATAGCGAGCCTGTCTGCTGCAGAGGTATGCTGTATTTGAGCTCCCCTGAAGACGCAGGATGCGGAACAGATAAAGACCTGCAAGTCTCTGCTTGCCTCTTTCACCCGCTCTGTGGCTTTGGAGTCTGGTGGGGTGAGGGCAGGGGAGGAGGGGACCCAGCTAGCACCATTAGGAATACCACCCAGAGTGGGGAGAAGTGTGCAAAACACGCCCTCGGGCCCGCTGTCTCTCTATTCAACACACGGGGTGAAAAATGTGCCTTTGCATTTCTGCCTTTACCTACTGTAACACAGAAAGCAGTCAGGTCTTAAGAGGGCCAACCAGGTTCTGTGGCTTAAATACACACACGCTTTAAGAGCATCTTGTTTGAAACAACAAGCACTTAAAGCGCCCACCTTGGTGGATTATCTTTATATGAACCAGGCATGCTGTTTCGAAACCATTTTACATGACAAAAAAGATGTCTTGGAAACTTTGCTGTGGTGAAAGGAAGGTGGAAAAAAACATCTTCCGATTTGCTTCTAGGAGAAGGCGAGGGATATTACAAGAAACAGAAGGTGTGTGTGTGTGTGTGTGTGTGTGTATGAGGGATAGAGAAAGGTTGAGAAAAATAAGAAAGAAGTAAGAGGAAAAAGGATGTTGGGGTCCCTTTACGCCTCTGGGGTTGCCCTGTATGTTAATCAGAAACACAAGGTCCTTCCCCCCTGAGTTTATTATCACAGGTGCAGATAGTTTGGGGTGACCAGAGGCGCAGCACCAACACACGTACCCCACCGGCTGCCAACAGATCAGCAATCTTTTTTTTCCACCACTCTTTTAATGTTCCCTCCAATCCACAACCGGCTCTCAACACCCCAGGCCTGAATGTTACAGCAGAGCCGGGCTCATCCCAGAGCTGCTTAGCATCTTCTTATCTGCCCCGCAGCTCAACAGACAGATTTAGGGCTCATCTGCTCTTTGTTTCATTTACGGAGAGGGGAGATGTTATACAATGCCTTACAGTACCGTACCTTGGCTCTCATGGCCCGCTCTGCTTCCAGCTCCTCTTCCAACTCCTCGATGCGAGCCTAAAGAAAGAAAAAGGTCAACGTTAAAACGGCTGCAAAGAATAACAGTCTGCTTTCACTAAAATATAAAATATGACTATGATATCTGAAGTTGAGCTGTTATCCTCTGGTTTCACAGTGCCTATATCATTCTGACAGAGAACAAATGGGGCGTCACCTCCGCAGATTGTTTGCTATTTCAGGGCAGCACTTGTGTGTGGTGAGGCTGTTTCATACACTCTGCTTTCTCTGGGGATTTGGCACGCCTCTGGCTTTTTCCTCAGGTAGCAATTTAGGGCAAGAATGTCTGTAGTCACCATCATTATCTGTATTCTGACCCAGGGCTGGGTCTGCTATGTCCGGTCAGTGAGAAGAAAAAGCATCGGTGCCATTTTCATGACATTCAAGGAATTTGTGTTGTGTTTTTGCTTTTTCTTGGTTTTACAGTTCTGGCTGGAAGTCAGTGACGCTTTTCCCAAGAAGCATCAGGGACTGAATATACAGTGTAGATGTCAAAATGATTGTCATTTTATCTCATTCATTATGAGGGTTAGTTATGCATTCTGTAATCTAGGTCGTATCTTCTACATGGTCTTGAACACTCTACACCCTGTACAACTGTGTTATATGAGTTATTAAGGTGCTATTCACTAAACAATTATAGATGCTTCACAGTTGTAGTAATAGCTGTTAATAAACTCTTAATAAATAAATATATATATAAATAAATCCTTTTATCTGCTAATGCCCATTGTATAGCATGTTGTAAACCATTAACTGTGTATGCACTGCTTATAAATGCTAAATAGAGGGGTTATAATAAAGTGTTAGCAATAGTTTTGTAAACCCCAAACCAAATGAGAAATTCATTGTCAGTGTTGTAAATCTAAACTTTTTATTTGTAGGTAAAAAAACACAGTTTACAATCAGTGGAGGAATGTAAGTAAGTATATTCACTCATGTGCTACTACATTTATTTGACATTTAAAATAAGATTTTACACATAAAATACATGATTCTTTTTTAAACTATGATGAATGGTATAAATTGAACTAGCCAACAGGTACTTACACATTCATGCATTAGTTATTATATTATCATTATATATTATATGACGCACTCTTTTTTGAGTACTTTTAATCAGTGCATGGCTTTTGCTTGTATTTTCTACATTGTAGTACTGCTACTTTTAAGAAAAAGATGTGAATACCTCCTCCTCCACTTGGAACAATATGCCTATAACCATTTGTACACACTTTAAGAGTAACAATCAGAAGGATCTAAATAATAAATCACCCACAGCATATTTCTGCTCCACTAATCTTGTGCCAAAGCCACGCTTTGTACTGCTAATAAAAATTTATTGCTAGGTTCCCAACATGGCTGCATCCTTCCAAGTTGTGTCATGTTCTGCACTATCTCCAGTTTCTATCTGTGTCTCAGTGTCAGGAAGTGTGTCTGACATGGCATGTAGCCCAGGGCCATTATGGCAACAACACCTACAGTACACTCACTGATGTGGTGAAAGCCACTCGCCGGCTACACGGCATACAAAGCTCCCCAAACATGACTCTATCAGATACTTTAGGTCAAGATTAACACACATGTGCAGGGAATTACCTTGCAGTTGTACAATTTTTGTCTAATTGTTGATGCAAGGGAAGTTTGTCCAAATTTCTTAGAAACATCCCAGAAGTGGGGTCAGACATGTCATAGCCTTATAAGAAAAATAACCCATGAAGACATCAACTTGTCTACTTTTTTCCACAGCATTTTTAAAACATAAGCATAAACAGAAAGACAGAAAAAGTGAAATTAAAACTCACATGCCAGCGCAGGACATCTGCAGAGAGAACAGCCATGGTGAGGCAGCAGCAGCCCAACTGACTGAATGACTGACTGACTGTCCCACACACACACACACACAGCTTCTCTGTTGATCCCCTCCGGCATTTTACTGTCCACACCCCCTTATGCATGCACAGCCTTTTTCTGTCTCTCACAGTTCCCCACTCACATATCTGTTTCTTGTTAAATTCCTACTTTCCACAGCCTCAAACCAGCCTCAAAATAAATATTGTGGCTCTAATACAATTGTAGAAAACATAGTGTGCTAACAGTGTTAAGATGTCTGAGCCAGACTGCATGGATAAACGCAATTTGGACTACTTATCTATGGCAGAAAGAGTTTAGACACTGATTCTGTGCACTTTTCTAAATGAAATTTATTCTGTTCTAAATTATCCCACACCAATGTCTCTACTTAGGAGCACTTTTGGAGTTGTGGGGGAAATAACAAAATTAGCCCATCGCTGCTGAGAATGGTTGCAGGGTTTGATCTCCATAATTGTATGTGCTTAAAGTTTTAGCTTTCTTTTTTTCCACTGCACTCCGAAACCATAATAATTGTCCATAAATTGCAATCAGATGTGGCCTCATAGCTGATGTCTCCCTGCTTGTGTCTGAGGGGATATTCAGCAGCGTGGGCAGTTATATCCTGTGAGACCCCCCCCCCCCCCCC